TACTGACGCCCGTTAGAGCCGTGAAATAAATACAATATTGGGTACGTAGTTTCCCATTCTGTGTATTGTAAATGTATATGTTTTCAAATTTATTGAAAAAGCTATATTATCATTATTACTCTCTTTATTTTGCATGTAGTGCATGTTGTTGACAGGAGAAAGGCGGTCACTTTCTATATGTTGCTAGGGAGATTAAAGAGAAGGACAAGACGAGTGTGGGTTCATCCACTTAATCAGCGTAGAAGACAACTTGGAGCATATTACCACCTTGTGTCCGAACTTCGACTTGACGGTGACCGGCACCTGAAATATCTGCTGAGCAAATGGATCAAGTTCTTGCTCTGGTTGGAGCAGACATCACAAAGCAAACAACAACTTATCGATTGTCCATCGAACCCAAGCAGAGGCTTGCTGTTACACTGAGGTAAGGACAGAATATGATGCTTTTTATATATTTTTTTTATTAACTTTTTAATTATAATTCTAAACTTTAACATCTTCAACCAGTGTACATATAACAAACATGTATTTTTTCTATGTATATATATATATATACAAATATTTTTATGAAGTGTACTATCCAAACAGTTTAACTCAGTCATGCATATAAGGTAAAACTTTGTGTAAGTAGGATTAATAACAACACTGTAGACCTTGAAAAGAATATCAAAGCAATTACTTATTGGCATAAATAAAATTATGCAAACCTATTAAAAATTCCCATTAAACCTTAACAGTAAACACAAAAAATTGTGTAGTGTACAAGAAGTTTGTAGAACTAAGGTAAGTGATGATAAATAGGAGGGGAGTCATGTTCAGCTCCATGCTGATGGTAGGGTGTCAAATGGTGTGGGTGATGGGTCTGGACTTCATGGCTGGATGTGGTGGGGTGGATTGGCTGAAATCCTGTTGGTTGGGTATGTGAGAACACAGGGCTGGCTTGTGTGGCTTGATGTCGCTGATTGACCTCCTCTAACTCCAAATTTGCAAGGTAGATTAGGATATGGATGTGTGCCCTACTTTGGTTCCTCGGATGAAGCCTGCTTAGTTTAGGCACTAAACTGAGGGCAAAGTAGTACATCTTGGTACATGTGGTGGAGCTGTAGTTGTTGGTTGAGTGATAATTTCCAGAAGCTGTTGTTCTATTGGACTTGGTGATTCAACTCTTCTCCTTTTTTGTCTCTGTCGAGCGTCATTCCTTATTGACTGTACTCTGAGATGTAGGGCGGGGTGTCAGGTATTTGGGTTGATAATGGAGGAGTAGAGGTGGTTGTGGGTAGTGTGGGGGTTGTAGATATTTGACTTTCCAGTGCAGGTGTTGCAGGCCTTTGTGTAACAGTAAAGGGACTGTATGATCTGCTTAGCTGGCATATGTCAGGATCCACATCCTCCTTAGCCACAGTCATATCAACTGGTTCATCTTCCAGCCTCAAAGTGGTTTTTGAACTAAAATAATAGCAGGTGTTATTATTGTACCTTTACAATTTAAAGTAATACAAAATTAGCTTTGCTTTTTTAAAGCGTAAAGTTATAAAATATTTCAACAAAATTAAATGTTTTCCATACCTAATTAGTAGGTTATAATGTCAACATTAGCAAGATACTACTCTACCGATGTGAAAGTACAACTGTATTGAATGCAGAGGACAATTTGAATTGTAAATAGTTAACTTTTTTGGTGAAAAAATAAATAAATAAAACAATAACACTTTAGTAAATATTTGAAAGAGAAAATAAATTAAAAAATAAATGTAACCACATCTCGACTCCTTTTTTTGCTGATGTAAGAGTACACTAGTTTACTGTTTTATTGGTCTTATACATCATGTAAACATTTATTGATTCAGATGGTGTTCTTTATTAATTGCTGTAAGAGCACTTCACTTGTCTACACCGAGTTATATTTTTCCAGTAATGTAGAAAAGGCTGGCTGTAGTGACAAAAGGTCCACACACCCACTGAGTGTTAATACCAAGATTTTCTACACAATTTAACATGTTAATAAGTATGTCTATCTATTGCTATGCCTAATAATAATTACATATTAACATTGAGATGTAAACAATATATATTCAGATATGCATTCATATAGTCAGGATTTTTAAATATATTTACTTTATATTTTCAATTATAAAGTTATGTACTGAAGATGTATAATTACACATTGCTATTTAGGCTACACTCGGACTTTATAATGATGTCATAATTATAATAATACAATTAAAACAAACTTTTTCAGTTTTGCATCTATATGTACATTTTCTGCAAATTCTGCCCTTCATAAATGACGTACTAATTATAAATAAAAAAATAATAATGTAACATATAGGCTATTTCATGTGCAAACGTAAATACACACAGCTGCGAATGGCACGAAGGTGTCACTCACGACCAACACAATTTCTAAATAGTAGTATTCACGAACAACATATTAGGCCCTACAGCGATAATAACTTTTTTCCCAGTTTAAACAAAATAAATATATAGCATAATGTTAGTCTAGGCTTATCTGCTGAACCACGTTTCAACATGTAAACACGTCACTTCATAAAATAAACATTTTAAAATTTACCATCGAGACCAACATCCGAGGAAACTGCTTCCCATGCCCTTTCCTTGGCATTCATATCTTTGTACAAGACATTCTGTGGGTCATAAAGTATTTTGTATTTTTCCACCTCCACAATGAGATGAGTGTCATCCATGTCACTTTTTCTGTTAATAAGCCTGTCACGTGATTGCCGGCTGAGATACAAGTCTCTCTCCCCTCTCCCTCCCCCTCCAAATATATATGTAATGTATTTCATGAGGGGGAAATTTTTTTTTATATCAAATGTACTTATGCCATTTTTGGGACTATATTTTTAGTTTTTTTTTTCACATTTAGGAACTATATAACATATTACATTTTAATTAGGCATATATCATGCAATTATTAAATTTCCGTGTCAATCCATGTTAATTTTTACCGCGAACAATGCGATGTCACTTTAGCATGCAGCACAGCAAAAATAGACTCGGTGCGTAAACGATCGCTGCCCTCCACAATGAGATGAGTGTCATCCATGTCACTTTTTCTGTTAATAAGCCTGTCACGTGATTGCCGGCTGAGATACAAGTCTCTCTCCCCTCTCCCTCCCCCTCCAAATATATATGTAATGTATTTCATGAGGGGGAAATTTTTTTTTATATCAAATGTACTTATGCCATTTTTGGGACTATATTTTTAGTTTTTTTTTCACATTTAGGAACTATATAACATATTACATTTTAATTAGGCATATATCATGCAATTATTAAATTTCCGTGTCAATCCATGTTAATTTTTACCGCGAACAATGCGATGTCACTTTAGCATGCAGCACAGCAAAAATAGACTCGGTGCGTAAACGATCGCTGCACTGCTGCAGACGCATCGCACCTGGAACGCACTGACGGACCGCAACCGCGTGCAGTGTGAACGCTCTAATCCGTTAACATGGGTGTGTAAAGGAATAACACAACGCACACGCACTGCAGACGGAGTATGTGTGAAACAGGCATCAGGCTGTGGCTGAAGTCAGTTGTAGTTCTTGTGTTTCTCTTTTCTTCAGTGATTCTGCTTGTTAACAGCAGGTGTTCATCACTTATGCTCAATCAGCACATAATTAATCACATAATTATCTCATTAACTTTAACTGCTTCAGTGTTACTTTAACACTCTTGTAGAGTGGAACCATATATGCTCCGAGCAGTGTTAATTTAACACTCAGGATTTTACTGTGTGAAATTTTGAGCTGGAGAAGTTTTCTTTGTCTCCCTTTATGGCCCATTTACATGTTTATGGCCGGTCTGGAGGATTGGTGCAGTTTTACCCAAAATATAGTACAAATAGTATGATGCATTTCACAATCACATAGTGTACATCATTGTTTGAGGAATAAAGAGCAGATCATTTTGATACCAAGAAAAAACATCTAGAAGATATTAAACCAGAGATGCATTCATACACCTGAATATAAGCGTTTCGATCTTAATTAATACAAATAACGAGTGGTAACTAGGCTAATATAATAGAGAAACATACATAAACACATGCATAAACCAGATACATTTGTAACTGATTAATTATAGTCTAAATAAAGAAAATGTCTTTATGTGTGTGTGTGTGTTATGTGTATTGTGAGCATGGGGTAGTTCGCTGGTCAGCCAGGCCGTTGGTGCCTGGCACCGGGGGTCATTTACATCTCTTTGGAATGTGTTTGAAGTCCGATGGAGAGACCAGAGAGTTGATCTGTTTAGCATATTCGTGATAATGGGGGAAAACCATTGGCAATTTAGCACCCATATAACTGTAGAATATGGTGCCAGGTCTGTAATTTATATGCAAATGTCAAAAGGCTAAAAGGGTCTCTAAGACATAAAGCCCCAACGATCATCAATAATCCTAAACAGATGCTACAACTTTTACAAATTATATTTAAAAGGGTGTCTTGGAGGGATGAGGTGTCTAAGCCACAACATCCAGCTAATGGGGTGCCTCAGGCAGAGCAGAGCACAAATGCAGAGCACAAATTCTGAGTGTGGGTTACCATACTTGGCAAATGTCACGACTTTCACTTTTCATTGATGATTCAGTGATGTCATCATCCAGTTCAGCTCACTTCCAATAGTGTCTGTCCAATCAAGCCAAACATATTGCCAGAAATTAAGCGTCCCAAAAGCGACAGTAGCAAGGAACCAAAACTCCATTGCAAAAAATCCTTGGGAGAAACCAGGCTCAGTCAGGGGGCCAGTTCTCCTCTGGCCAGAAAAAAACGACATGGTGTGGTTTAATTCTAGGCTGCAACACAGGTCAGATTGTGCAGAGGACTTGTCTGGTTACCTTGGGGTTTTCCCGATGGCCATCTAGTTGACAAGGTCTTCGTAGGGGATCTGTCTTTGGGGCTCATCTAGTTGACATGATCGCCACTGACATTCAGGGCTGATGAGGTCATCTCTAGGTGCTGATCCACCATCTGGTCTGGATATGGACTGGATTTGGGTGGCTACGGTGACCTCGGAATAAGAATGAAACAGACTAATATTAGCTTAGATGCCATTCTTCTTAAGATGCAATGAGTACATCGGGTGTTATGGGAAGTGTTCCCGGTTCCGGTTGACCTAATTAATGCAACCTAACAATCATTTAACAGATTTGAATTATAGAAATGTGATAGTGTGCTATGTGTATGCCAGTTTAAAGAGATGGGTCTTTAATCTAGATTTAAACTGACAGAGTGTGTCTGCCTCACTAGGTAGAACTAGGCGCAGAGCAGCCACCCAAATTTTTTTTTTTAAATAATAATATTATTTTAATTAAGGGTGCATTATATATCGAAATATAATCAATATCTCATTATGGCTTAATGCTATAGTCATATCGCGAAGGTTGCGACGATTTAATTAAATAAAAATACCTATGCGCTGCAGTTTTCAGAGTGCAGCAGTAATGTGTTCGAGTGCAGCCCATGACATGCAGCGCTTCACTCTGAACCATGCAGCACATTTATTTATTTTCTGGCAAACAGTGCTTGAAGTGGGCCGGTACCAGTGTTGGGTAAGTTTAAAAAAGTTATTAATTACTAATTATATCATCAATATTGTATTTAAATTACTTTTCTAATTACTCTGTCTGAAAAGTAACTTAATTACCAAATAAGTAACTTAATTATTCGAATTGTTAGTTACGTCATAAAATCCCTAAAAACCTTGATGCATAGAAATGAAACTTAATTCTTTCAGTTTGAGTTAAACATGGAATAGTTTAGCCTTTTAGCTTTAAAACAACTGTAAGACTTATTTTAATAAAAATTTTAACCTACTTTAGTTTACAAATAGAATTAATCTGCAAAATATCCTTAAAAAAAAAAAAAAAAGCTTAAGAAAAGTACATTTTTAAGTAACTTTTATAAATGTGCCAGAAGAAAACATTACTGATGCATCTTGTGATAAAACGATGGAACTGACATATTTTAAGGTATGTCAGTGCAAGTTTCTTTCAGTTAAAACAGCTCAGAAATGCATTTTAGTCTGGGACTACGCTTCAGCATTTTCTGTGAAACCAGGGGTACATGTATCAAGCTGTAAGCATTAGGACTGGGTAAAAAAATATTGATATCTCGATATTAATCGATTCTCATTTTTACAGAACGATATCGATTCTTAAATCCCAAGAATCGATTAGTCTAGTTTTCAGTTAATGGATGGAACATTGAAGGGCACTTCTCCTCCAACATATCGCAATAAGCATTGTGCGTTGGTACTTTTAATATGAAAAAAAGTCTTAGATTTCAAATTCTGTCCATTGTATTGAAATATTCAAACAATTAATGCCGTTTTGGCGCTGTTTAATGTGGAGTGACAGATCGCTGTAGCTCCTCAGTTCAACAGACGCAGCAGCGCGAGGCGCTCGTGAATTGATCATCTCCTCCGCTTTAATACCAGTTTCAGTACAAAATAATGATGACTAAACATCCGAAGGTAAGTTAAAAGAAAGAGTACAACTTTACAATCCGTATCCTGTCTCATGTATTCGCTCAATCAGTGTTTCAGCCGTGCAAAGACGTCAAAAATTGAAAAAAATGATATGTTGGGGGGTCTCAAAAAATATTGACAATGTGTTATTTTGACGTGCAATTTCAGTTTTGTGTAATGAGATCATCGTGGATTATTATGTGTAAAATTGCAAAAATATCATTCATTCATGCATGACGGCGATTTAAACCTAATTCACGTCAATAAAGATAACTATACGTGCTATTCTTGTCAAGGTGTGGGGGTGCTGCGGTGCAAACTCCACTCATGTTTAGTACATGTTAACTCAAAGATTCGTAGAAAAAATATAAATGCTGGACTCTGTGGTCGATTCTGTGTTAAGGTAAGGCATGTTATTCGCAATTATGTGTTGTGGCTGGGTTGTTATAGGTCTGCGTGACTCTCGATGTCTTAGGCCTAACTGAACGGAGGAATTATGGTATTCTTCTGTAGCCTGACGATGAGTAAATTTACGTTAACCGTTGTTCATGTGAACTCAAAGACAGCTGGATGCTTTGTATATAGACTATTTGCGGGTGGCTCTTTGTTGTTTCACCTATCAATTCGTGTCGATAAAGTATAATAGGGTAAATCCTGTATAGTGATTTATCATATATAGTGCTTGCATAAAGCAAGTAGTGCATACTCTTGTAGCTGTTATGTATCTTTGTAAGTCATTGTAAGCCCCCGCGCAAGCGCACAAACACCCCCCCCCCCCCTAAAAAAAAACAAAAAAACAAGTGGGCTCCCCCAAAGTCCACGGTATAGTTCGAACACTGTGTGTGTGCAGACTGATGTTTCGCTTCTGTTAGTGAGAAGAGGATTTTATTTTTCTAACTTATGTATTTCATTCGAAGGTATGAACGTAATTGGCCCCAGAATAATGTAAAGCATTTTTATTGTCAAATGAAACTATAGTAAATGTTTCTTTTTATAAAGTATGCTATGGGGGAGCGCGGGGCACAAAGTTACGCGGGGTTGTAACATAAGTGGTTTGAATATTTCCACACAAGCTAGCATAACAAAATTTACCAAATCAACATTATATAGAAAAAAGTGTGCCAAAATTCAAAAATCTTTTGACGATATCAATGAACATTTATTTTACCATAGTAAAATGAAAATTCTGGCTTAAGTAAATTTTTCATCTCTGTTTTTATTAATCATTTAAAATTAGACATCTGCTATTATGTTAATTTCCAATCTGTTATTTATCAGTTTAGTTCGTTGTTTTTTTTTTATACTTTAACTAGCAGAAGACAGCAACTGGTTTTAAACTCCAGTTGCGCAGATGGGGCACATTGTAACTGCGTTACAGTGTGCTATTCTATGACATTAGCGATGTAATTTACACTATTTACTTTAATGGATTTTAATGAGAAACAACGAGAAACAGGTGAATAAAGACTGACAGTCAATGTTTAATGTTTAGAAAGTATTATTTCAAGACATGTAAAGCATTTTTTGCTCGTTTATATGGGATGCTGACATATACAAGCATATTACAAGCATGATTGCAATGTGTTCATTGTCAAACTCCAAAATCAGATTATTTTTTATTCTTAAAAAACGCCATTATTTTATTTGAAAAAAATAATTTTATTTTATTAACAAAATATTTTAGTTACGGGGGCATGCTGTCACATTTCACTTCCATTTTTTGAGGGTAAATAAAGAAAAACGTATACACTGTAATCATGAAACAAAGCAACATATTTGTACTAGACAAGTGTAAAATTACTGTGGATAAAAAAAATTATATTCTGAACCCCATGTGGATTTACACAAACTGAAAAAGTCAAAAGTGTTACTTTATGCCCCGCTCTCCCCTATAATCACTGGTGCACTGGAGACGTTTTGACATTTGTGTTTTTCAGTATCTTAAAAATATATTAATGGCTAAAGTCTGATTATATTTGGGCTACGATAATATGTGAGCAGCGTGAATGTACATGTTTGCGAAAACAACGTTTATGCGTAGTTAGTGAAAAACTTTTTCATTTAAAATGTGTTTTATAAGTTCAATAAACTTAAATAATGAATCATTTGAATTAGTAGCATGGTAGTAAAACATGCTGTCATATATAATTATTTATTTCCATATTCTTTCAAATAGAGAAGTCTCTCTTTAGCTTGAAATATTTATGTGCATACTTGTTTATATGATTTATCAGAACACAAATTTGTATAATGACACTGATATAACAATGTAAATGTGTTTATGATGAAATTTCTTGAGTCCTCATAATTCAGATCGCTTAAAATAATATTTTATTAAAAACGTTTGTATGCAGAATTTTTGTGTGATGGTAGGAGTACAGTGTGTACAGTAAAAAAACATTATGTCTATGGAGTGACCCCACAAACCAGATGTATAGTAATACTCCAAATGATTATTGACCTGTGCGAAATTTGTCCCAAGATCATAACAACTTTATAAATTATACTATGAAGATATAAAAATGCAGAAAGTTTACTGTGATGGGTAGGTTAGGGGTATGATACTGTATTCAGTTCAGTTCAATTCAAGTTTATTTGTATAGCGCTTTTCACGATACAAATCGTTGCAAAGCAACTTTACAGCAAATTAAGTTTCTATAATATTTAGTGGTAGCTTATCAGTGGTGACTGTCAGTTAATGTACATATGGCAGAAATGTACGGAAAAATCAATTAAAGACGTAATCAAACAGACGAACACTATTAACAGCAATTATTATATGATGCAATAAAACATAGGGGGTTGGCATCATCTAAAGTCCTCTGAGGGGTTGGCATCATCTCTTCTCAGGTGTTCTGGATCCAGACTGAAGCTTGTGTAAATCCTAGTTACCACAGGATGTCAATCCCATGGCAAAAACAGAGAAACAAATAGAGACATAATTAGCGTAGCTGTTGTTCCAACCAAGCAAAATTTATTTGTTTAACCCAAACTAAAGAATAATAATGTGCGTTTGATAAGATATAACTGCAGTACAAGATTATGAGATGCATTATTTGAATGCTTGGCCAAAGAGATGTGTCTTTAATCTAGATTTAAACAGAGAGAGTGTGTCTGAACCCCGAACGTTATCAGGAAGGCTATTGCAGAGTTCGGGAGCCAAATGTGAAAAAGCTCTCCCTCCTTTAGTGGACTTTGCTATCCTAGGTACTACCAAAAGTCCAGAGTTTTGCGACCTTAGGCATGGATTGTAGTGTGGTAGAAGACTACTTAGGTACGCAGGAGCTAAACCATTAAGGGCCTTATAGGCAAGTAATAATATTTTGTAACTGATAAGGAACTTAATAGGTAGCCAATGCAGAGACTGTAAAATTGGGGTAATATGATCATATTTTCTTGACCTGCTACCTGTAGCTTTGTTTACTGAAGATGCAGGACAACCACCTAGCAGTGCATTACAATAGTCCAGTCTAGAGATCATGAATGCATGAACTAGCTTTTCTGCATCAGAAACAGGTAACATGTTTCGTAACTTGGCAATGTTTCTAAGATGGAAGAATGCTGTTTTTGTAACATGGGAAATATGATTTTCAGAATCAGAATCAGAATGAGCTTTATTGCCAGGTATGTTTACACATACGAGGAATTTGTTTTCATGACAGAAGTTTCCACAGTGTAACAGAATGACAGTGACAGAACAAAAAACACAGATAATAAAAAATAAAAATAAATAAAAAATAGAACATAAATATGGAATAAAAATATATAAATTGACAATTGTATGTGCAGGTACAGTATATTACAATAGACAGTTTTGTATGTACAGGTATATTATGTGCAAATTTGAGATGTAGACTGAGTATGAGTGTTAGATAAATAATGGCGCTTTTCCACTGCGTGGTACGACTCGGCACGGTACGGCTCAGTATGGTACAACATGGCTCGGTTCGGCTCGGTTTGCGTTTCCACTGCAGTTCACTACCGCTTTAGAGTGGGCGGGATTATTCACATGTCGTTATAGTTGCCTCCAGTGATCTGTTGAAGATCTGTGTGAAGATGGGGGCCAGCTGGTCAGCACAGGATTTCAGACAGACTGGTGTAACACAATCTGGGCCTGGTGCGTTTCTCCTTTTCTGCTTCCGGAAGACCTGGCGCACCTCATCTTCACTGATCTGAATTGCAGGTGTGGGGGAAAGGGGGTTGCTGGAGGTGCGAATGGTTGTGTGGAGAGGTGTTCAGGGCGGGTGTGGGGTGTTTTTTCAAACCTGCAGTAGAACTCGTTCAGATCGTCTGCCAGTTGTTGATTCTCCACAGTGCTGGGGGATGGTGTCTTGTAATTGGTGATTTCTTTCAGACTTTTCCACACTGATGCTGAGTCACTGGAAGAGAATTGAATCCTTATTTTTTCAGAATAATTCCTCTTAGCCACTCTGATCTCCTTTCCAGTGTGTATTTAGCCTGTTTATACAAGACATTGTCACCCTTCTTGTAAGCATCTTCTTTGGCTGACGGAGCTGTCTGAGTTTTGCAGTGAACCACGGTTTGTCATTGTTGTAGGTTAAATGAGTCCTGGTAGGAATGCACATATCTTCACAGAAACTGATATAAGATGTTACATTCTCCGTGAGCTCGTCCGATCTGGACGGTGGCAGCAGCTTCAAAAACACTCCAATCAGTGAGGTCAAAACAAGCTTGTAAATCATGCTCTGCTTCATTAGTCCATCTTTTTACAGTCCTTAATACAGGTTTAGCTGATTTCAGTTTCTGCCTGTAGGTCAGTATAAGATGAACCAAACAGTGATCAGAGAGTCCTAAAGCGGCCCATGGAACAGAGTGATATGCATTCTTTATTGTGGTATAACAGTGATCCAATATATATCTGTCTCTAGTGGGACATGTGATGTGCTGTGTATTTTGGCAGTTCACGGGAGAGATTGGCTTTATTAAAGTCCCCGAGAATGATTAAAACAGAGTCTGGGTGTTGTTGTTCTGTCTCTGTGATCTGATTAGCGCATTTCTGTAAAGCGGAGCTCACGTGCGCTTGCGGAGGAATGTAAATACTGATGAGAATGAATGAGCAAAACTCCCACGGCGAGTAGAAAGGCTTGCAGTTAATGAAGAGCACTTCTAGATCTGAACAGCACATCTTCTTTAACACAGTTACATCTGTACACCACCTCTCATTGATGTAAAAGCATGTCCCGTCGCCGCGTGATTTCCCCGTTGATTCTGCGTCGCGATCCGCTCTGAACAACTGAAAGCCCCTGGAGACTCAACGCGCTGTTCGGAATGGCGTCTTTCAGCCAGGTTTCCGTGAAACACAGAGCAGCAGAGTTTGAAAATCCTTATTTGTCCGGGAGAGCAGAAGGAGTTCGTCTGTTTTGTTGGGTAGAGAGCGGAGGTTCGCCAGATGGATGCTAGGCAACGGTGTCCTGAATCCGCGCTGCCTGAGCTTCACGAGCGCGCCGGCTCGCTTCACCCGTCTGCGCGTCCTGAAGCATCTGAACAGCGCCGCTGCTCCCCCGACTACAATGTCCAGCAAAACATCAGAATAATCAAAATCCGGTGAAATATCGGGTGGTGTGTACTGCCGAATGTCCAGCAATTCGTCTCTGGTGAAACTGATTGCAGGGATATAACTAAAGACAGGACAAACTAACAAAAACATAAAAACAACTGCGGAGCATGCCACGGAGACAGCCATCAGCGTCGGCACCATCTCACATATCTATCACTATAGATACGTGACACTATCACTTTCAAAAGACAAGTTGCTATCTAATAAAAGACCCAGATTTTGACTGTAGAGGAAGTAACAGTACATCCGTCTAGTTGCAAATTGTAATCCAAGAGATTCTGTGTACTGTCTTTTGGTCCAATAAGTAATATCTCTGTCTTATCTTAATTTAATAGGAGAAAATTATTGGTCATCCAATCTTAAAATTTTTTAACACACTCTGTTAGCTTAGATAATTTAGAAGTTTCATCTGGTCTTGTTGAGATATATATAGTTGAGTATCATCAGTATAACAGTGGAAACTAATCCCGTACTTTCTAAAACCACTACATATCGTAGTGTCCTGGAGATGTTGTCCGACAGGAGTTCCGCTTCGACTCTGGGGTGCTGGGGTGCAGGCCATCAGTGCGAAAAAGCCTAATTTACTGTATAAGAAAAATTTACTGTATAAGAAAAGATTCCAATTATTAACAAAGAGCAGTTTCTGTTCTTTACACCATGACAATAACCATTCATTTAAAGCAAAAAGTCTACTGAACCTTTCATGTCCTCGTCGATACGTGGGAAGCGTTCCTGACACGATGATCGTCGTCGCGGGCAATGTGCTGCGCACCATCTCAATCAGGCTCCTGAAGTCCCTCTTCAGTGTCTCCGTCTGCCGCAGCTTGGTGTCGTTAATCCCCCGCGTGAAGCACGACCGCTCCGGTGCTCTCGTCGCTCTCTTTTTTGGGTATCTGCGCAGAAACATCGAGAACACGAGCACCAGGGAAACAGTGAGTGTGCAATTTACCTTCAGCTAACGTAGCACGGACGTGCCGGACGATGGAGTCTCCGATGATCACAGCGTCGCGTTCCGTCTCGCAGAGGGGAGTGAAGCGGTTCCGGGTGGAGATCTCGAAGACCGGAGGCGGCAGAGGGGGATAGGTCATCGCCCGGGGCCTGGCTCGCGTCTTTTGCTGCGGGTGCACCCAGGGTCCGTGGTGTCCCGGCGCCGGAGTGAAGGACATCTGGGAAGATCACGTCCTGGGTACACTGGGCCTGTGCAGAGAAACAGACGGAGTAGAGGTGGTGGGAGAGTTAGTAGCGCGCTGTATACTTACCCTGGACTTGTGAGCGTCAGCCCGGGATGTTTCCAGCGCAGCTCTCCGCTCTCTCAGCTGGGTCTGCCTCTCCACCAGGTCGTGGATCTGCTTCTCCACGGCCTCCAGCTCAATGTACATGAATGTGTCCTCACCTGCACTCAAAGATAGACACACATCCGCCATCAAAGCAAGTAACAGTGAGTAAAACAATGGTAATGTGTGTGAATAGAGTATTAGCAATGTAAGCGAGATTAGCGGCAACCACGCTGGAGATGCTAACGGACTATATGCTAATAGCGGGCTCGGGAAATCTAAATAGAACTAGTGATAACAAGGCACTCTGATTGTTTTTGTTGTAGAATACGATAGGGGATATATAAAATTGATTTTATGATAAAAAATAGACAATAAAGAATTAACTTGATGGAGCTCAAACTCAAAATACACGGCAGCAACAAACAGGAAGTGACATAATTTACTGTATAATGTAAATATAATGTAGAAACTTAAATTTTCTGTGATACAAATACAAATATAAACATGAATTGAATTGTCTATGTAAAGTCTCCATAAACATGACCGGGGCCCCCCAATAGCCCTGGCCTAATATATATTTTTCCAGATCCTGGTAAAATGTACGACGTTTTTTATTTTTAGTGATTACTAAAACTAATGTAAATGTTTTGCTTTGTTTTATATCATATGCGATCGCCTAATTCATATATTTTCATTTAAAAGAAGATAATAATAATATTTGGACGATTGAATGTTGTGTTGGTGTACTTGTTTATCCTAAACTGCAGTGGCCAAGTGAGGAGCATGCACATTTTGACATTGCATGGGTCATTTTATTGAACCCCATGAGAAAATTACTTTAAATCTTACAAAATAAATAAATAATTGACATGATTTATAAGTTTTCTGCGATGGGTTAGTGTTAGGTTGTAAAATGTATAATTATCTGTAGATAAAAAATAAACGCTGAATAAACAGCTTTTTAGAGGAATCAGCTTATCATTTAATGAATTGACAGCCATCAGCTAATCTCCAACATGTTTTACACTAAACAATACTTTTGGATTGAACTATTTTTAGAGTTTACACTGAAATAAATGCTGTTTTATATGAGAAGTCACAGACTTTTTGCAACAGGTGGTATTCAGCTTACTGCACTTCTCATTCATTCCTATGGTATTCGTAAACAGCGATTGAGTGTCGCACAACTCTGACTGAAATTCAGTGACGGCAAGGCTGTACTGTGATTGGTTATTAAGGCACATGTGATCTAAGTTGACCATTACGCTTTCTCCAATAGTAAGTAATACAGACCCTCTCATCACTCTATAGTAAGACGATCTCTGGCATGAATGCAGCAAAAGAAACCAAACACAGAAAGGAAGAACACAAGGAAACTAACAATACATTTCAACATAAAAGCCCACAAGACACAAGTCACAGAACCAGGATTGTGACAATAACAATAAGCCAATATATTCGTAAAAAACTGCATTTGACGTGAGTCCAAGTATCGTGTCCCAAATCCGAAATTTGTGCTCTGCATTTAACCCATCCAAGTGCACGCACACAGAGCAGTGAGTAGTGAACACACACACACGGATCAGTGAGTAGTTAACACACACCCGGAGCAGTGAGAACACGAACACACACACGGAGCAGTGAACACACACACGGAGCAGTGAACACACACACACACACACACACACAAAAAAAAAAAAAAAAAAAAAAAAAAAAGCAGTGGGCAGCAATTTTGCTGCTGCGCCCTTGGGGCAATTAGGGGTTCGGTACCTTGCTCAAGGGCACCTCAGTCATGAATTCCACTAAAGGTGGAAGAGAGTGCTATACGTTCACCTACAATCCCTGCCAATACTGAGACTCAAACTCACGACCTTCGGGCTACAAGTCCAACTCTCTAACCATTAGGCCATGACTGCCTGATTTTACTACAAAAATCAAAATGGTCAATGCCCAAAATGGCTGAAATGTGAAGATTTGGAACCGTTTGACTCGGTGTGCCGTACTGAACCTAAGGATACCTTAAAATTGTCAGTTTTTCATATCTCTTGTCCGGTATGTGGTGCTGTGCCGTACCCTCAGGTCATGGTTGTTATAACCAAGTTTGATCTGAATAAGCTAAAGAATACTCGAATTCCTTGATGCACTATATGAGAATGGTTTTGTTTATTGAAAATCTTTTAATAACTTTTTAGCAGCATGGTCTAAATATGATCCGAGCAAATTTTGGTGAAAATTGTTTGAGCCTTCTAGGATGAATTTGAAAAGAAGTTTTTTTCAGAAAATTCAATTAATTCCCTTAATGGTTCAAAAGTTCTTAGTATAAACATTTGTGCAATTCTGGACAGTTGTTGGCACAAAGGGTTTGAGTGAGAAATTTCAGATCTGCTGTGGTTAATGTTTAGACTGTCCTCTTTCTGTTTGTGTTTCATGGGTGGTAATAGACTCGAGCGGAAAAAGAAAAAGAATAAAACTAATCAATAGATGCATACGCACCTTTGGTACCAGGCCCGTAATTATCAATAATTTAGCACCAATAATAATTGATATTAACTAAGCAGCAAATCGGCATCTTAGAATGATTTCTGAAGGATCATGTGACACTGAAGACTGGAGTAATGATGCTGAAAATTCAGCTTTGATCACAGAAATAAATGTTACATGTTAAAGTATAGTAAAAAAAAAATTTTTTTTAATTGTAATAATACTTCACAATGTTACTGTTTTTACTGTATTTTTGATTAAACAACTGCAGCCTTAGTAAGTGTATAAATATACGGAAGCATTAAACACAGTACACTGGAGCATTAAATAGTAACTACTATTCTCAGACTCAGTGGTCTGTCTGTGTGTCTGTGTGTGTGAAGAGCAGTGAACTGGACTTCAGTGAGGTGAACAGCCCTGAGGACACAAACCATCACAGTGTCAAACACCACTAAAACACACACAAAACAAACAACACAAAACTGTTTTTTTTATTACAAATACTCGCAAACTAATTCTAGTATTAGGAAATATCCTTTGTATATATAATTTTATTTTAAAGCATTTCACTATGCAATAAACATTCCTCGCTCTCTATTTGCATACGACTCTCACTTCTCACTTAAAAATACTTAATGAAGTTTTTATGAAAAATAGTTTACAAATATCTAAAAGAAAAGTTGTTACAAATGTTTTACAAAGAAGCGTTTAAAAAGTTCACTTGGCAAGATACATTTCTAACAGTGTAATTAATTGATACTTTTAAACAGATATTTTTACCTGATAATAAGACCACAGAAATAGAGTGAGGGATGAGACAGAGATGTTCCTTTAGACGTAAGAATTACAGCCTCTTCTCCGTCTCAGCCTGCTGCTCATCCATGGCACCCAGATCTTCTTCAGAGGATTTTGTGTAAGTTCAATTTGTGAGTGAAACATATTCACCAATGTGTCTGAGACAGCTGTGTCTGTGTGAGATTTATACAAGTGAGTATGGTAATTGCAGAAAGTGACTGATGTCTTCTATAAAGCCTTGTCTGCTTTAAAGCAGATGTGTATTTAAACTGGTGAACCTTGATGGAGGAGGTGCCTCAAGCACCTGACACAAAGTTACACAAAAACAGCCTATCGATATTCACCACAAAACAGGCATGATCTAAATAAATGAGAAGGGTCTGGCTGCAGACATGCACTTGCATTTTCAGACTTGCACTCTCAGACACCTGCACTTCCGCGAGTGACGTCACTTGCAGTCTTTTTTTATTTTTAATTTAATTTAATTTATTAATATTTTTTTTTAATTGAATCTCTTAACATTTTACACAAGTAGCCAGGTGGTGAAGACAAGAAAAAAAAGAAACTAAATCACGGTCACCTGCAATCGCCGCTTGCACTCTCAGCTACTTGCAATCCACACGAATCGTGCGTGTTGCCAATGGAGACAAGATGCTGTGGTGGTTAAATGATTAAAACTAATTTAGTACTATAACATACAGGGTCCTGCAAGTCATCTGTAGGAAAAAATGAATTCTTGTGTCATTAAGCGCTTTTAAACCTCCGTAGAAAACCATACACTTAATATGGCTTAATGTGTTAAGATAGTGCTATTAAAAGATCAAATTCGATATAGTTTAATTTAATGTACTAGGCTACTACAAAACAAGCATATGCTCATGAACACAACGAGCAAACTTATACTTTTCCTCCCATACGCTTAATGTGCCATAACGGACTAAGATGATAAAGACCAAATTCAGTATTTCTTATTGTTGATGCAAACTACATAGACCATATGAACACGCATTAAAAAATTCATTAAGTGATATTAAATGGACCAACTATATTCTGGTCTCACCTGCTTATCTGTACATATTGTGTTTTAATAATGAAGAGGAGCATATGAGGTCTTTATAATCTTAGACCGTTATGCCACATTATGCCACCTTTTGCGGTATGGGAGGAAAACACTATATACATACATTATATTAATAAACTTAATTTGATCTTTTAATAGCACTATCTTAATACATTAAGCCATAGCCTATTAAGTGTTTATGGTTTTCTACGGAGGTTTAAAAGCGCTTAA